GAGTTGGACACACCGGAAAACTATTTTCAATTTTTTGTGTAAAGACAAACTAAATTAACCTAGCCTAACCTTTCTAGGCCTAATACACGATATCTGAGGTCTAACATAGTACATATATGATATACTAGGCCTAGGAATATTTAAGTTTGTGTTTAAAGAAAAAGAAAATCTATGTTACGATAATCTCCTTCAAGAGAGATTTGGCCTGCTCTTTCCTATCGTCATGTTACTTCAGTACATCTACAACATCTAGATACTACAAGCAAGTGTAGTACATATTTAGTCAAATACGTTTTGCCAGGCGCAAACGTATCATACACTTGCTCTCCACCTCCCCCCTCCCTCGTTGCCGATCACCAAACTAGCATTTCCAGTCTGCCCGCTTCTGATTGGTAAATCGATGTCTGCACTACTGCACTTCTGCACCTCACGCCATCTACCTAGCCGATGTCTGGGCCTGCACCAGCCATTGGAGTTAGAATATTCTGTGCTCTCAAGCTGAAACAACCATCAGATATACGCTCTGTCTATTAGTGGATGTTCTCAGCACCTGTTAATTTCATTTTGTCTTTATCCATTTTAGAGTAACGTCACCACTATATTATTTTGTTATTTTTTAATCTTGTGAGTTTGCACTGTACATAGCCAAGGAACTGTCTTATTCATAAGTTGTTTTAAATTTAATTAAAGTTTCATTATTCATACTATTTGTTTTGCCTTACTTTGCCACAGGACACAACAGCTACGCAGTCATTTTTTTTTTCTTTTAATGTTACAGGCATTGACACCAGCCATTGGGATGACTGCCGAACACCTACACTTCTTTTTTTCCATCACTAATATATATATATATATATATATATATATATATATATATATATATATATATATATATAATATTTTATACACACATCTTCCCCAAGTTGAAACCCCACAACAGTTGCCTAACTCCCGGCTAAATATTTACTGCTAGGTGATAGAGGCATTAAGGAAATGAGCCCAAACATTTGTTCCACCCAGGAATTGAACCCGAGATCCCTGATTGTGAGTCCGTAATGAAGCAAACTGTGCTTAGAGACTAACATGAATATCGATCCATTAATTCCTACATAAGACAAAACATAGGAGCATATGAATAATATTTATCGACTTGTGAATGGTCCAGGACAGACCGAAACGTCGTCGTCCCTTCACCTTGTAGTGTGTGGTCTGGTCAACATTCTTCAGCCACGTTATTGTGACTCATCGCCTGTATACGAATAATACAGTGGAACATACTCCTCCTTCCTCACAAAGCAGTCCGTTCATATTTGCCGGCGTATAATGGCGTAGTCACCAACGCCATCTATGTAAACACTACGTAGGACCACCGCCACGCTTCATACATTTACAATATAATAATTGTATTCATAAAATATACACACGAACATGCTACAGTGGCTTATTCGTAGGTACCGGGGTTACATATTAAATAAAGCCACTAAGACGCAAAGCGTATACAAGTATTAACAATGGCAACAACAGCAAAGCAGGTTGGTTTGGAATTGCACTCAAGGGCTACCAATTTTGGAGGGTAATTAACGTGACACATGTTTACTGGCCAATAACCAAGTGTACTTTAGTCCTGAACACTGTCCACAATTAATGTAAACTTTCAGTATATACATCAATAGTTGGGTAAACCTGTGTGTATATATCTTTATATGTAAGGAGTGTCCCGGGTCCTGGTTGTAGACTGGGGCCAGATTCACGAAGCAGTTACGCAAGCACTTATGACCCTGTCCATCTTTTCTCACTCTTTGGCGGGTGAGAAATATAATATAATAGTTCAGGAGCTAGTTCAGGAGCTAGTTCAGGAAATAGAATATAATAGTTCAGGAGCTACGAAACACCAGGAGGCTGTTTGTAACAATAACAACAGTTGATTAGAAAGTTTTCATGTCTGTAAACTGTTTAATAAATGTAACCAAAGCCGTCAAAGATTGAGGAAAGAAGTACACGTTCGCAAGTGCTTGCGTAACCGCTTCGTGAATCTGGCCCCTGGTTCGTTCTCGACACACAATCGAGAATTCCAGGTTCAAATCCCGTGCGGCACAGAAATGGTTGGGCGCATTTCGTATCACCTCATGCCCCTATCCACCTAGCAGCAAATAGGTACCCAGGAGTTATCTTGTTATGGGGTTGCATCCTGGGGAGCTTCAGTAATTCGTCCCTGGAGGGGGGGGGGGCTCGATAACCCTAACATGTACTGTACATATAAACTGGCTGCCTGTCGCCAGACACAATGAATTATGCGAAATACACGTCAAAAGCTCACCTTGTGGCCAGGGTCTAAGGAATGAGAAGTCCAGATTTATTAGAATGGTGGTATATTGGCTCTCCTGGTCCTAGGTAGCTCACTCCTGGCGTAGTCCTCCATGGAGTCCAGATACTAGATACTTCCGCTGGTATATTGAGGGTGGCAAGTTCCTCCTCTTGTGTTCTGTAGAGGTGCAGGAGCGCAAATCTTGAGGCGCCACATGACATGACTGGGGAACACATCCGTCTCCTCTCCTGGTGCTTCACACACTGGTGAGGGCAGAGGGCGTGCCGCTGGGCAACTCAGAGCCCAGCCAATCACAGCCGCGCGCGCGCTTGTTGGCGGGAACTTCATCCTGACGGCTGGTTTCAATATGGCTCCCGCTATAAAATGAATGTTTCTGAATTGGTGGGGCATATAGTGATTCTGAAATAATAACGAACATTATAGATTTAAGCCCGAAACGCTTTGCGTAATAGTGGCTTTAGGCATTGTATGTACTAGCTCTCTATAAATCCATCAATTTTTTGTATCTCACCTGGTATGTATGTACTTTACCTAAATAGATATTTGTATTTGCATTTATAAAGAAAAAATCACTACTATTATAACAATCCATTCTCCTGTTTAGATAGTAGTTTTTGTACCTATGTTCAACATAGAACAAACATTGCCGTTCTAAGCAATTAGAAAGTAGAACTTTGGACTATTCACTTAGAGTCGGAAAAAATAAAGCTAAAACACCAACTCAAATATTCCTAGGCCTAGTAAAGCGCACACATGTATTATATTAGGCCTCAGATATCGTGTATTAGGCCTAGGAAGTTTAGGTTATGTTAGTTTAGTTTGTTTTTGCAAGTAGAAAATAGTTTTCCGGTTTGTCCAACTCAATAACGCCGATTTCTACTTTCTAGTTTCGTTGTTTGTCGGTATATATACTATGGTCCTCATTATTACTGTAAGTACTATCAAAACAGGAGGATGGTATGTATTATAAATTGTAAAATGCCTAATGAAATTATTGTTTAAAATTACTATAATTTATCATGCGACCAATTGGTCGATTTTTTTACAGTTTAAATTTTTCTATGCAAATTGATAAAATAATTTATTTTTATTATAACCCGACTCGTTAATTTAGTGCTTAAAATGATTACCATTTGGTAATTAAATACCTGTGCAGCATTTATCACGCCCCTTGCTAACTAGGCTTTCGAACACTGCTTGACTCCCATAAATTTAGAAGCTACGGTTTTCATTGTTCAGTATGATGCCCTTGCACAGTGGCATTATGTTTTTGCTAAATAAATATGTATTTATTTCAGCCCATCCTCCTGTTTTGGTAGTACTTATAGTAACTATGAGGACCATAGTATATATTCTGACGTACAACGAAATTAGAAAGTAGAAATCTGAACTATTGAGTTGAACAAAACAGAACAAACGTTTTTTCTTTTACTAATGTTGCTTTGACAAACTAAACTAATCTATCCTAACCTCCTTAGGCCTAATACACGATATCTGAGGCCTAATACAGTACATATCTGTACTATACTAGGCTATGGAATATTTAAGTTTGTATTTTAGCTTCATTTATTTTAAAAATATTCCTACTAATCAGTATATTACTATCTAAAAGCTAAGAACGTTAGATTTCTGAGTATTAACGATCGTCACAATACGTACTATTAACCCCTAAATCATTGATGCTGCGGTAATGATTGTAAACAATACTTATAGGACATCAATTAAATATTACAGTTCAGATGTCTATTGTGATTTCTGCTGATCATACCAACCGACCCACATAATTCAACAAGACACAGTCAATTCGGCTAAATCGAGCCATGAGGCATAATTTATCAAGCATTTACGCATCCACTTAAGAAACTTAGACATCTTTCCTCCATCACTGTGGCTTTGTTTATATTAAATAAAATAGTTTACGATCATCGAATCTTCACAATTCAAGGTTACTATTGTTAGAAACAACCTCACAGTGCCTCGGAGCTCACAAACTGTTTAATGTAAACAAAGTTGTGTTTGAAGGAAGATGTACAGGTTTATTAAGTGGTTGTGGGAATGCCTGATGAACCCAGCCTAGCGGTGGGTAACTTTATTGTGTAAACACTTGTATCCTTATTCGATCTTTGTTGCTCTGGAACACTGACAATCGAGTGTTATCACCGTGTGTTGAAGTTCTCTGATATTTAAAACACGGTTTACTATTAACACGGGCTATTGTTAACATTGTCTACTATAAATGCAGGCTACAGTTAACACGAGCTACTGTTAATACAGGCTACTATTAACACGGGCTATTATAAACACGGACTACTATTAACACGGCTACTGCTAATATGAACTACTTCTAACACGGGCTACTCTTAACATAGACTACTATAAACAGGGCTTACTGTTAGTACCGGCTAATATTAACTACTGTTAATAGAACTTTTTATTAACATGGGATACTACTGGCACAGGCTAATGGTATCACAGGCTTCTGTTAAAACAGGTTTCTATTAACAAGGGTTACTGTTGTAAGAGTATGTCTCAGTATCTCAATATATCCCAGTTATATATGCCAGTATATCAGTAAGTCGTCTAATTTATATTCACGTTTATATATCACATTTATCATTACGTATAATCATTCAGCAACATGAGGCTACGGAATTCTCTCTTCACCGCCCAACAGGGACTGCAGGTATGAAGAGGAGCAAGAAATTCAACAAGTGGCCTTTCGGTTTATGAAGAAGAGAGAGAAGGAACGCAAAGCTCAGGCGGCGAAGGAACGAGCGAAGGCAGAGAAGGAACGTGTCAAGGCGCAGAAGAAAGCCGCCAAGGCCCCACAGAAGACCGGCTCCGGCAAGAAGAGTGTTGTCTTCCCGCTGCTCGAGAAGGATACACAGGTGAGTCTTTCGCTATCGTAAGAGGTTATCGTTTGTTCTGATCTGTTGACTCTCAAGCAAATAATAATAATAAAAATAATAATATTAATAATGAGAAAACTCGTAGGAGCCGTGATCAGGGTTCGAACCTATTCGGTGGGTGTTCCCACGGATAGATTCGAACCCTCATCACGGCTCTTACGGAGTTTCTCATTGATGCAGTCACATTTGTGTGATTACTCTGTGTAATAATAATGATAATAAGAAGAATAAGAATATTATTATTATTATTATTATTATTATTATTATTATTATTATTATTATTATTATATTTCAATTAATATAATACACAAATTAAAGGCAAAAATGTTTTATGGATAAATTTATTGTTACAAATCCCCTTTACTCGAAAAGTTTAGGGATTTCTAAATCAAATAACTTCTATGATAGAGTTTGCATAATTTGTTATAATTAACATTGACTTAAATAATACAAAAAATAAATAATTATAAAGTTGGGTTTGCTAGAGCATAGACAGAACATAGACGAGAGCATATGACATGCTGAGATAACTTTTCATAGGAAGATGATATCTTTTAAAAAAATAAATTTCAGCTGGTATCAAACTTTTGTTTCAGTAATGAAAAATGTTAATGGAATTTTGTGGTAGGTTAAATATAGTTAGAGATAAAACCGCCTGAGTGCTTATGTTGTGAGTACATAGAGGTCAGTATCCACGGGAGCGGTCTCATCAAGCCTAGTGTGAATTGACAATATTTTTAAAACTATTAATTCAAAAAAATATTTTAAGAAGTAAGGCGGAACACGAACCCTGGTCCAAGAGGTGGAAAGCCTACACAAAGAAGAGAGAATAATGAAGATTTGAATCCTAAAATCCTCTGAACATAACTGAAACTCACCCTGGGGTTAAGGAAGCTGTTTTGGGGAACAATATTGTTGATGTTCACCCTGAATGAACATCTATCTCTCTGGGTGGTAAACGTACGAACCCAAGCAGCCCACTTAACCCATAGAGTCCAATGCATAGAAAACCTTGCCATTTTAGAGCCGTTACTTTTCATAATAATTTCTATTAGTAACGTTGGCTAAGATAACGTAAAAAACGCGACCTATTAGTTGAGAGGGCGGGTTTGTCAAAGCATCGAGAAGTAACTCATTGTTTCCTGTGGCAGATGTCTGAGGGAGGCGGCGCAGGGGACGGGTATCAAGTGCTCCTGCCCCCTGAGGCACCCCAGGCTGACAGGTGAGTACCACAGACGCCCTCTCCTTCATCACTCCTCTTGATTTATAAGGCACTACAGGCTCACCATAGCCCGGGCTACTTGGAACTTTTTGTTCCAGGTAGCGAATCTTTAACAACATCCTCTTGATTACCAGAGACGCCTTGTTGGTGAGTCCTCATGAGTACCAGGGACTCACGAGTACCAGGGACGCCTCGTTGATGAGTCCTCATGAGTACCAGGGCCTCACGAGTACCAGGGACGCCTCGTTGATGAGTCCTCATGAGTACCAGGGCCTCACGAGTACCAGGGACGCCTCGTTGATGAGTCCTCATGAGAATCAGGGCCTCACGAGTACCAGGGACGCCTCGTTGATGAGTCCTCTTGAGTACCAGGGACGCCTCGTCGTCCTATATAACATATGAACATGTTACCGTTTGTAGTGTGAAGATGAGGCTTCAGCTCATCAGTGTTGAGATGATCGCTGCTCATTGCTCCAGGAAGAAACCCTCTTTACCCTTCCTCCCTCCCTCCCTTTCTCACCTTATTTCTCACTCTCTTCCTCGTCCCCTCCCCCATTCCTCACCCATCTCATTCCTCCCTAACCTGTATGTATAATGAGTGGTCTGGCCGCAGTGCGTCAGAGAAGCCCAAACCCTCGATGATTCCTCTCCTGTTCTCTCATAAGTTTATCCCAAGTTTGTGGCGTTGCAATATTCCATGAGGCTAATCTCTCTCTCTCTCTCTCTCTCTCTCTCTCTCTCTCTCTCTCTCTCTCTCTCTCTCTCTCTCTCTCTCTCTCTCTCTCTCTCTCTCTCTCTCTCTCTCTCTCTCCATCACCCACACCTTCCCTCATCTCCCCCATCACCACCATTTCCTACATACTCTCAGGCTTTCCTTGGACACACTAGTCATTTCCCGTCAGGCGTAGTAGCCATGGAGACGAGACCATGTAAATGTGAATTTTCTTGACACCAACATAACTGACACACAAAAAATATAAAATGTAATATAAATAACTTTTTAATAATAATAATAATAATAATAATAATAATAATAATAACAATAATAACTAATAACTGATCATTACAACATCCATAAGGTGTTCTACTGGTTGCTAAGGTCAAGATAACATGTGGGGTTGTGAGAGTGTTGGGCCAGAGTGGCGGACTGGATCCTCCGAGTGGCACTCAGGCTGTCTGAGTGCCACTATCAGAGACAGACCGTCAGAGACAGTGTGTCTGTTTGCCTGTCTGTCTGAGTTTGAAGGTCAGATGCTTGAAGCTAACCTTATTCAACTTTGCACCCTGAATCCTGTGTGGTACATGCCCAACAGGGTGCCATAGTCATATACTCACCTACACGATGATTTTGGCCCTGGCGCCAGCGCCTGTCTGGCTAAGTAACTTAAACAAATTCAATATAGTTAATTTTTCTATTATTATTACGAAACATTAAGAACTGCTCTCAGGAAAATTAAAAATGTTCTAATTATCATATTTTCCCAGTAATTGGTCAAAACAGGGTGTTTGAGTGTGGGATGGGGGGGGGGGGGGGTCAGGACCACCTGAGGTAAAGGGGGGAGTGCTTAGCCCAATCTAGGGTGTAGGGGGGAGGGTGCGTACCCCAATCTAGGGTGTAAGGGGATCCTGAGTCCATCCTGGGGTGTAGGGAAGGGGAGGCTCAGCCAACCTCCTGTAATTATTGTCGCCACGTAAACTCATCCCATTAAAACCTGAGGTAAGTTCCATCAGGCTAATTTTCTCCTGCTAATATATCTTCCTGCGCTCATCTGTGATGCTTCTTGTACTTGCTTCCTTCTGTGGGTATCGCTGCAGCTGCTCTACCATGCTGCAGCTGCTCTACCATGCTGCAGCTGCACTACCATGCTGCAGCTGCTCTACCATGCTGCAGCTGCTCTACCATGCTGCAGCTGCTCTACCATGCTGCAGCTGCTCTACCATGCTGCAGCTGCTCTACCATGCTGCAGCTGCTCTACCATGCTGCAGCTGCTCTACCATGCTGCAGCTGCTCTACCATGCTGCAGCTGCTCTACCATGCTGCAGCTGACGGTGACGCGGGAATGGTGTACACGGATGGTGACGCAGCACAGTAGTGAACACGTCCCTCACAGTCAAGGGTCCTGGTCATCATTTATGCTGTAATAATATACAATAATGTGCTTGGCATCTTCTGTATTTATGTACCATTCCTCCCCATTTCTTCTTATCTTGTCTCTCTCTCTTCTTTCTTCTCTCTCTCTCTCTCTCTCTCTCTCTCTCTCTCTCTCTCTCTCTCTCTCTCTCTCTCTCTCTCTCTCTCTCTCTCTCTCTCTCTCTCTCTCTCTCTCTCTCTCTTTCTAAAATAACCATCCCACACGTTACCTTGACCGCCTATATATATATATATATATATATATATATATATATATATATATATATATATATATATATATATATATATATATTTAATTATAAAGACAAGTTTATTTAAGTTCAAAGAAGCACAAATTTAATTAGTGTGTGTGGTGTGGTCGGGCGGTGGGAGTATTCCGGGCACGAGTCTCCAGGAACTACTGCTGAGACAGTGTGCTGGGACAAGGTGCTGGGACAAGGTGCTGGGACCATGTGCTGGGTGTCCGTGGTCACGCCGCCTCTAGTGGACCCACTTCACACCTCTCTTGAAGCCTATGACAAATGATTCTGACTGTCTCTCTGTCTCTGCATTCTCACCCATCTCTCTGGCTCTCTTCCTCCTTCACTCGTACCGTCATCTGCTTCTATCCAAACATGGGAGGTAATGCCAAAGAGAGCAAGGAGGAAGGGAAGAGGCTGTCTGGGTGTGCGGGCCAGCAGTTGAGTGTCTGCAGGAGGTGAAGGAGATCCGCAGCAGCCACAAGGTCTGGTGTGAGGGCGCCTCACGCCTCATAATGGCGTGTGAGGGCGCCTCACGCCTCATAATGGCGTGTGAGGGCGCCTCACGCCTCATAATGGTGTGTGAGGGCGCCTCACGCCTCATAATGGTGTGTGAGGGCGCCTCACGCCTCATAATGGTGTGTGAGGGCGCCTCACGCCTCATAATGGTGTGTGAGGGCGCCTCACGCCTCATAATGGTGTGTGAGGGCGCCTCACGCCTCATAATGACCCGGAGTGTGGCCAGCCAACTCTTTCTTCTTTCCTTACACAAGTGGAACAGAGACAGACAATTTGTGACTCTTGCTAGCAGTCTGAGAGCTTTCCCTTCCAATACTTCATGATAAACGTTATCCACTAGTTCTCCCAGGAACACGAACCGCCAATCGCTTTACAACCAGGTACGCAATTAGTGCTGGGTGAACAGAGGCGTTTAGTTGGGCACTGTCGTGTACGTTTTATCATATGAATTTATGAATATAATTTTATCTTAAGAATATATAAACAGGCAGCTCATGTTTATATATTCACACATACACGTCTAAATTACGCTTGAAACAATCCAGCGTTTGCCACGTCAATAAAGCTGGGAGTACTCTGGAGCGTCGTGGCTTGAAGGGTGTTCTTAGGAAGAGCGGAGTTCGTATACAGTTTGGTGGATGGTGACCAACCCGCCAAGCAGGCGAGTTCGTAAGTACTCGCGTAGCCGCCGGCTGATTCCAGCCAAAGGCGTATCTTATCCCTCCGGTCTTGGATATCTTAAGACTGAAGGATTGGATGTCTTACCCATAAGTGTTGGTATCTTAACATTAAAGTGTTCGATAGCTTAACCAATTAGTGTTGAGTATCTTAGACCAAGAGTGTTGGATATCTTGGCAATAAAGTGTTGGGTATCTTGACCCTAAAGTCTTAGTTATCTTCAGCTTAAAGTCTTAGTTATCTTGACCATAAAGTCTTAGTTATCTTGACCCTAAAGTCTTAGTTATCTTGACCATAAAGTCTTAGTTATCTTGACCATAAAGTCTTAGTTATCTTGACCCTAAAGTCTTAGTTATCTTGACCATAAAGTCTTAGTTAGCTTGACCCTAAAGTCTTGGCTATGACCACCAGGTGTGGAGTGAGACAATGCCTGGAGACTTGTGGATAAAATTAATGGTAATACTAATTATAATAATAATAATAATAATGATATTAATACTACTACTATTAATCAATATTATTGACCACTGTGTTGCCCAAACTGCTGTGAGAGTAGTTGCTATGGAGGGTATTGGGAGAAGACCGGCTGGTTCTCTCCTCTCCCACCAATCGGAAGGTCAAAGGTCGAACTCATTTAGTGAGTCGGCAGACCTGTCATTAAAGCGGACGTTTGGCACAATGAAATTTATTCTCAGAAGCGTTTTGTATGCAGTGAAATGGTTCACCTCGCTTGACTAAGTTTCCTCCGCTGCTGCACCCTCCTGCTGCTGGAGTTAGTTCTCTCTCTCTTTCCTCTTTCTCTCTCTCTCTCTCTCTCTCTCTCTCTCTCTCTCTCTCTCTCTCTCTCTCTCTCTCTCTTTGTCTCTCTCTCTCTGTCTCTCTCTCTCTCTCTCTTCAGTCTCTTCATGACGTCAAATATCCTTCCTATTGCGACTACAGAGAATTGTAAGAATCAAATGCTATAATTTCATTAACATATAAGGTAACTCATAATGGGTTCATCAAAGTTGACCTCACTTGGAATTGGTGCTGGTAGGTTATACACAGAAGTCGTGCTATTGAGAGCTGTTGGCTTCATCCTGGGCAGACAGCTGCATTTGTGTCCAGGAGCTGTTGGCTTCATCCTGGGCAGACAGCTGCATTTGTGTCCAGGAGCTGTTGGCTTCATCCTGGGCAGACAGCTGCATTTGTGTCCAGGAGCTGTTGGCTTCATCCTGGGCAGACAGCTGCATTGGTGTCCAGGAGCTGTTGGCTTCATCCTGGGCAGACAGCTGCATTTGTGTCCAGGAGCTGTTGGCTTCATCCTGAGCAGACAGCTGCATTTGTGTCCAGGAGCTTTTGGCTTCATCCTGAGCAGACAGCTGCATTGGTGTCCAAGAGCTGTTGGCTTCATCCTGGGCAGACAGCTGCATTGGTGTCCAAGAGCTGTTGGCTTCATCCTGGGAGAATGGCAGCCAAGTGAAATGTTTTCAGTGCAGGAGCGGTGAACAAGTGGAGTGAGCTATGAGAAAAAGTGGTTGGGAGCTACATGCACAGCTTCAAGGGGCGATGCTGTAAGAAACAAGATGGCCACGGAGGGCACTGAAGCAGACAGGTGAAAAATTGATGACCAGGAGCATGAGGCTAAAAGGCATGGCTGGATGTACAAAATAGGCCTATTGAAAAGCAGAGGTGCAATAGGCACACTGAGAAAGAACTCTATCAAAATCATAGTCCCGGGACTGTTCAACACTCTTCACATAAGGGGCATAACTGGCCGACCTCTCACAGTTTTCAAGAGAGAACTGGACAAACACGTCCAAGGAATACCTGATCAACTAGGCTATGAGCAGCCACGTCGAGCAACCTGGTTAACTAGACACCAACCAGAGGCAGAGACCGGGCCTCGGGGGCGTTGATTCTCGGAATCGACATATTGTGTATTATAAGTTGTAGGAGATTGTTATATCCAGCTTGTAGGATTTACCTATCATTACTTACCTATCAGTGACTACGGGAGAGTGAGGCCTAGTTCTTTATGCCTCGCCTATTAGCCTTGTACCTGTTGCGTTACAACCTAACTACTCTGATTTTCACATTCTTCGTCGAATCGAGCCTTAAAGTTGTAGATGGAGGTGGCTTCCACAACTTTTTTCTAGAGCATTTTAGAAAAATTTCTACTTGCTAACTACCCGTACAGGGTACTTACGACCCTTCGGCTCATTTGGGCTTCCAGCTTCCACCTGTGTCCTCATGTCCTGCGTTCTCTCAGTCTGAAGAGGCTATCTTTGTCCATCTTATCTACTCCCCTCAGTATTTTGTCAGTTGTGATCATATCTATCTTCGTAGCCTAAGCCACATATCTCTGGCACCAATTTTGTTGCAATCGTTTGTATTTTTTCAGTTTTGGTTTTGTGCTTCGCAAGGTGCAGATTCCATGCCGGTGATGCAAAATCCAGTATTGATCTAACAAGTGTTGAGTAGATTGCTTTCGAGGAGTCCTGATTTATGTTTGTAACTGATGTGCTTGTATTTCCCAGCGTCCCAAATGCTACCGATGTTAACCTGTCCAGTGTTAGTGTCGGAATTATATCCACTTTCAGTCCATTCTCTCTTCCTGATTCATTCCTTCCCCATACGGATGTACTGGGAGAGTCAAGATTGAAAGAACAAAACTCAAAATTCACATAAAGGACAGAATAAACAAAGCAAAAATAACGTTAGGAAAACGTAGAAAATTCCGTAGCCTCACCATGAACATACAACTACACTTATACAAGACACTTGTCCATCTATCCAAAACTTCTCCCTAGCAATCCAAGGCCTAATACAGGCTATTGTAGACCTAATATAGTACACGTTTGTCTCTAACTTAGCCTAGAAACATTTGTTTGGTTTTAGCTTAATTTTTTCGGACTATAAAATTAATATGGCTAAAAGTAGTTTACTGGTGAACCATCATTACATATTGTTGCTTTTCACCTAAGAGTCTCTGTAATTATTAGCATTTTATGAGGATGTGTTGGAGAGAAATATATATGTATAGTATATATTATAAAGGAAAAATTGGTCGGGAGTCAGTACAATAGACAACCGACCGACGGGTACTAAGGTGGGGTCCAAGAGCTAACGGCTCGATCCTGCGGGTACAAATAGTAAATACACATCGTGTCAGCAAGGCGAACAGTCCGCCTATAGTTAAATAGTATAACTCATATACTATATTTTCCATTTACAAACGTATTCGTTCACCTGTACCTCTCCATCATCCTCTACATCACAACCCGCACCAGACTGCATTGTAAAAAAAAAAAAATCCCAACGGTCACTTCATCCCTTCAACAAAACTAAAATAACTGCTAACGTCCTTTAAAGCGAATCTCTTAATTTCTATTAAGGAATAACGATCATTGAAGCATCATAACATAAAATTATTTACCCGCCAGATATTATTTGATTTTGAACAGACGTAAATTACGACACACACAAGGACCTTATTCAAATGTTAAACAATAAAGATTTCCGCCTCTCAAAACAACGAGGCTTAACCCAGCATGTTCGCTACCTGAACGTTAGGCACAAGCAAGCATCGTCCCCAAGTTGACTTTCAACCCCATATGTTACGTAGGCAACTAAACAGTGCCTATTAACTGATTTAACGATGATATATATTATAGAAAACATGCACATGGACTTACAATAATTTGGTCCATACACTATTAAATTAATTGAGGGCCCATTACATACGAGTGTACTCACAAGATATAAAGTGATAACTTAAGGTTATACAAAAGTGTTGGCATCAGTTACCATCTCGACCTCGGCTACTAAGTTAATAGTTGGATATGTAATGATGGATAGCACTGTTGCCATATCTCCAAAATTTTATCAAAAGTACATAAGAGTAAAAGAAAAATATAATTCACCGTTATCTCAATAAATAACATAAATATAAATATTTATACAAATATACTTTGCATCATAGATAATGATAATTGTTAAATAACCTATATATATATAACGAACCAAATATTTTCAGCGTAACCAGGGCACCACCGCCGCCCTTATGAGCTAGTTTGCCCGCCAAATCACAGGCAGACACGGATTGTCAGTCACAGGAGGAACACGCACCTCAGCAGGGGAAGCTGTCAGCCTGCCACAGTCAACACGTGTTGCATAGACGGATAGCTACTGCAAGGGAGAGGACCGGTTCCTCGTACTATGTATACTAGTGATAGTGAATTACCGGAAGTGATACAGTGATATTTACTGCGTTGTGAACACAGTACTTGCTTTTTGGTGACATCAGTGTGATCGACCATTAATAATTCATCATAAGTGAACTGCAAATTTATGATAGACTTTCATTGCAAGGCTGGACACTTCCCCTGTGGCTTACACCATCATCACAGTAACCCATCCTCCTAAAATGAGAGTACTTATAGTAACTGTGGTGTAAAGTACCAATATGTAGTGATGGATCACCGGAAAGTTGACTTGTATTGAATTTGGACAAGAGACATTTTTTAGCCGTAGCATAAATATAAGACCTGGCCTAACTAAATGTAACGTAATCCAACTTCTAGCAATCCTACGCCTAATGTATGTTATCTTAGGCCTAATATTGTACATGTATGCGCTATGTTAGGTCTAAGAATATTTAAGTTTGGTGTTTAGTTTTATTTTTTTTCCCCGGTTTCCATAACATTGATAGTACAAAAAGTGGTTTACTGGTGACCTATCACTACTTAGGTATTGGTACTTTCGACCAAATTAGATACTCTTAAGTACAGTCATTTCAGAAATGGGTTGACCACTGCACGACACCTGTTACCAGCAAGCATCGATGGGTTGACGTTACAACAACTTGCAGGTGTGTGAACTCACTGTACATAGTGTAGCTGGTTTGCAGGTGTAGTTTGGTTGCCTTATTATTCCAGCCTGTCCTCAGGCTGTACTGGTCCAAGCGGCCGCCGACCCCCAAAGACGCATATTCATAACTTTTGACGCACTTTGTAAACAAAAACGGTGTTTTCTATATAAATTAATATATATTATAATTTAGTCCATAGTTGGATCTAGGTTTGTTTGGTTCTGGCAATTTCTTGCATGTGCAAAACGCAATTAGAGGTTTGTTTCGAACTCAGGAATTGAGTGAATCACTGTTCGAGAAAGATTAAATCAAAATTTGTGGGTAAAATGTTTTTAATTCTTAAACGGGGGAAGGGGGGGGGGTTGCTGTCTGGCAGCCCGTTCTCATAAAGGTCAAAATCCATTCCATACACCCGCCAGATTCCCGGTTTATGAAAGTAAAATGGTTTAATATATAAAAATATATATTTATATTTGAGAAAATTACTATTTTGAATGAACATATTAAAATTGATGAATGTTTCTTTAGGGTCGAGCATTTGGCCATTGTTATGAAGACGGGATAATTGATTAGTATCTACGAGCGGGTAAGTCCCCTGGTTTTGAACAACTGTACGGCACATTACTCATCAAAATAACAGTGCCAGGTAGGTAGACTTTAATCAGAGATCATAAACACATTTAAGCCGTGGAAGAAAAGATCGTAATCTAAGCAGATTAAAGCATCCAATAAGTCGAGAACCCTCGCCACAAGGAGGGTAAAGGAGAGAATATAAGGGGAGGGTGGAGGGCATCGTCGTGTAACCTTGTACAGTAACTGCTATCTGGAGTTTCATCATTCCTGTCTGTGTTCATTCTCAGCATGTAAGAAAAAGTCTTAATTAATTTTTGGAGGAAGCAATGGTTGTGTATATTTGAACCGGAATGGAATGATTATGGGAAAGCGCCAAAGTAATTACGACTATATAGCACTGGAAAGGGGCCAGGATAAGGATTTGGGATGGGACGGTGGGAAGGAATGGTGCCCAACCACTTGTGGACGGTCGGGGATTGAACGCCGACCTGCATGAAGCGAGACCGTCGCTCTACCGTCCAGCCCAAGTGGTTGGGCCATTTGAACCGGAGAGGGGGGGCTGTACTCCACCGTGCCTGAGTCTCTCAACCTCCCCATCTCCTTGGCCAAGCACTTGGGCTGGACTGTAGAGCGACGGTCTCCCTTCATGCAGGTTGGCATGCAATCCCCGACCGTGCAAGTAGTTGGACACCATTCCTTCCTCTCGTCCCATCCCAAATCTTTATTCTGACCCCCTATAGTCGTAATGACTTGGCGCTTTCTCGTCATAGTTCCCTTCCCTTCCTCCATTTGTGTTTGTGTGAACCGTTACACAAAATTGTCAGGGGTGTTTTAATTAATTTAAAAATTTGACGTTGTTTACATGGCATCAGTACTTCCAGGTAAATACATTATTTTAAACGACATCCCGAGGTGTATACACAGGTGTAGCCCGCTTATCGGTGTAAATACACAAAGAGTTTAAAGTATATTTTAGTCCTGGACTGAGTGCAGAATTAATGTATACTTGCTAGTTAGACAGTAGGCTATTATGGTGGAGGTTGATAGCCCTTAAACCCAGTACCAAACCAAACGATCCCCTTCCCCCCCTTAACTGACCTGGGATCACTAAGAACAAATATAAGTAAACCTGTAACATTATTTAGGTTAGTGGTGCTGGAGACTCGTAAATAAAGTAATACATATGCAAAAACTTACACCACTAGGCTCTAACCAATTATATAATACAATAACGCTATTCCGGAACTCTATCTCCACGGAGGCTAAACCAATTCTCTACTCCAGAAATAGCTCGGATCTTAAAAATAGGGAGGAGGAATAAAGAATATTAATTAAAGAGCATTGCAGCATTAATACAAGTTAGAGTGAAGACGTATAGTCTTCTACAGTCATGTAGGGGAGAAAATGTTGTCTCCCATTCCACAGTGGTGTATGGGGAGGATATGTCTTCTATTCTACAAGGAAGATCTGTTCTTTCCCATCTTTCAGGGAAGATATGGTGTCTACCATCCTACAGGGAAGATATGGTGTCTACCATCCTACAGGGAATATATGGAGTCTACCATCCTACAGGGAATATATGGTGTCTACCATCCTACAGGGAATATATGGAGTCTACCATCCTACAGGGAATATATGGTGTCTACCATCCTACAGGGAATATATGGTGTCTACCATCCTAAAGGGAATATATGGTGTCTACCATCCTACAGGGAATATATGGTGTCTACCATCCTACAGGGAATATATGGTGTCTACCATCCTACAGGGAGTATATGGTGTCTACCATCCTACAGGGAAGGACTTGTTGCACATACCACCCTACAGGAAAAGACGTGTTATCTCCCATCGTACAAGGGACAGTGGGGGATGGGAGGCAGAGATGGGGTTGGGAAGGCAGGGAGATGGGGAAGAACAACTTGATAAAAAGAGAGAGTGGGGAGGAAGGTCATCATCAGTTTTTAATTAAATTCAAAACAAAATTCTAAAATGTTCTTCATATTAGTATATAAAGTTTTGTACCACTTGAAGGAATATCCTTTTATTAAAACCTCTCAAATGATTTGATAATGTTTGAGAGGTGAATTTAGTAATGAACCTGATTCGTATTTTTGGCTTCCAATGTTCGTATCCCTTAAGCCCTGATCATAATTATGCAAATTGATTGGGGAAAATTAATTTTAAACTCTGGAAACTGCAATTCCTTCATTAGGTTATATGTTAATTATTATAAATGGAATGACTAAAATATTTTTCACAAAGAGTGAGCGCTGCCTAAATGATGTTCCTCTTATTGCAACCCATCGTGTGATAAGAGAGCACTTCCTGTAACCCCGTGGACGATCGTAGAAATATCCACGTGATAGACAAATAGACAGTAGAATTTGGTACTTCATTTTGCAGTAGGAAAAATGAAGCTAAAATCCAAACGTAAATATTCCTTAGTGTGTATGGAGGGGGTTAATGGGGGGGTGTAGGTAGGGAAAGAGTAGTGTTTGGGGGTGTGTGTGGGGGCGTGTATGGTAGGAGTAGTAGTGTGTGTGTGTGTGTGGGGGGGGGGGGGGGGTTGTAGGGTGAGAGTAGTAGTGTGTGGGGGGGTGTAGGGGGAAGGAGCAGAGCGTCTACTGTTGACATAACCAGCCCAGCTTCCGCCATTGTCCACTTAACAACAATGCTATGCAAACCTCGTCTATAGGGACAGGAATATATATATATATATATATATATATATATATATATATATATATATATATATATATATATATATATATATATATATATATATAAGATGAATAGGAAAACCAGGGATATACTGAACATCTTGTTTCAGATTCTTTACTTTAAAATGTATAACGTTTCGAATACTTCTCGTATTCATCATCAGATCTAAAAGAAAAAACAGAAATCACAATCAAATAACTGGTAAACAAAGAACTCATACTGAATATAATTGCCTATCAAAGAAAGGAAAATGCTTTAAAAACAAAACACTTAAGCGCACTTAAAGTGATCAATATAAATAAAACTTATTAACTGTCACATATATTAAAGCTAATTTAAAAAAATCATTTTGTTTAGTTTACCATGTCTTTGCCCTTTCTTACTTGTTTCAAGTCTTGACATTGTACATTAATATAATCTTTTATTTAGGATATATAATAAATTTTTTGGTATTTAATTTTATTTAATATTTGAGTTTTTTATAAGATTTTGGTTAGTACTTTATAATTGTCGTTTATTCTGTTTGTATTTTACATACATTTTTTGTAGATTTGTAGTCATTATATAAATATTTGTTATAGTGTTTAGTATCTATGTGTTAGGTATCAAGTTTCACTTCTGATCACTTCACGTAAGTTTAATAGAATGGTTTGTTTTAGTAGTTATACATTTTATCTTGTAGTTTAATAGATTTTTAAATTAGTGTTAATATATGTGACAGTTAATAAGTTTTATTTGTATTGATCACTTTAAGTGCGCTTAAGTGTTTTGTTTTTTAAGCTTTTTCCTTTCTTTGATAGGCAATTATATTCAGTATGAGTTCTTTGTTTACCAGCTATTTGATTGTGATTTCTGTTTTTTCTTTTAGATCTGATGATGAATACGAGAAGTATTCGAAACGTTATACATTTTAAAGTAAAGAATCTGAAACAAGATGTTCAGTATATCCCTGGTTTTCCTATTCATCTTAAAATTAAGATTCCCGAAGGGAACATCGATCATATATATATATATATATATATATATATATATATATATATATATATATATATATATATATATATATATATATATACGTATGAAAAACTGCAATCGGAATTGGAATTTTTTTATTTTTTGGAATGAAAGCTGTTATGGAGAAAGGAAGAGTGAATGGCATGGTTGTTGGTAGCCAGTGGTTGTTTGTGGCGGTGGTTGTTGGTAGCCAGTGGTTGTTTGTGGCGGTGGTTGTTGGTAGCCAGTGGTTGTTTGTGGCGGTGGTTGTTGGTAGCCAGTGGTTGTTTGTGGCGGTGGTTGTTGGTAGCCAGTGGTTGTTTGTGGCGGTGGTTGTTGGTAGCCAGTGGTTGTTGTTTGTGGGCGGTGGTTGTTGGTAGCCAGTGGTTGTTTGTGGCGGTGGTTGTTGGTAGCCAGTGGTTGTTTGTGGCGGTGGTTGTTGGTAGCCAGTGGTGGTTGTGTGGCGGTTGTGGTAGCAGTGGTTGTTTGTTGTTGGTAGCCAGTGGTTGATAGTGGCGGTGGTTGTTGGTAGCCAGTGGTTGATAGTGGCGGTGGTTGTTGGTAGCCAGTAGTTGTTTGTGGCGGTGGTTGTTGGTAGCCAGTGGTTGTTTGTGGCGGTGGTTGTTGGTAGCCAGTGGTTGTTTGTGGCGGTGGTTGTTGGTAGCCAGTAGTTGTTTGTGGCGGTGGTTGTTGGTAGCCAGTGGTTGTTAGTGGCGGTGGTTGTTGGTAGCCGGTAGGTGTTTGTGGCGGTGTGAGGTAGTATATATATATATATATATATATATATATATTATTAAATATGACCGAAAAAGTAAGATTAATAATTCTAACACGAGTTTTCTCAATCTTTCGTACATTTCGCTTCACTGTTGGAGGTAAATCAAAAATCAATTCTCCAAAATTCATTTTTATTTCTAGTCTGACGCGACACGAGCACGTTTCGTAAAACTTATTACATTTTCAAA